GCACAACTCTCTGCTAGCCGAGCTCTGACCCTACCAGACATATAAACACAACCTAACCACGGACAGCTCCAGTTAGGCGGTCCCACTGACGTTTGACATATCAGTTACATCGCTTACATGGAATGCCCGTGGTCTAGCTAATAGGACCACCCTTGCTGATGTTAGATATCTCATTCGTGAGCATAACCTTGACTTTTCGGCTTTCTTAGAGCCTATGACTTGTGACCCTTCTTTTGACGTTTATTCGCGATGCCTTGGTTTTCATGCCAGGATGGGAAACACCTCTAATAAGATTTGGTTTTTCCACTCGCGTGAATTTACTTGTTAGATCCTTCGAGATACTGATCAAGTCTTGCATGTGAAGCTCACCGCCGCCCATCTTCCGGAGCCGATCTTCCACACTTTAGTTTATGCCAGCTGTGCGAGGTTTGGTCGCTGTGACCTCTGGGACACCATGCGTGAGACTGCTGAGAGTATGGAGGGATTACCGTGGATGATTAGCGGTGATTTCAACATATTCTTGTATCCCGATGAACGCATTGGTGGTATTTCGTACCGCTCTGCGGAGATCTTACATTTCTCGCATGCTGTATCGGATTATGAGCTCATCGACGCTGGTTACGAAGGGGATCCCTTTACGTGGGAGAGCGTCGGAGTCATGGAGAGGCTCGATCGCGCTTTCTACTCAGAGGCGTGGACGAAGGTGTTTGCAACCATGGCTGTAATGCACCTTCCTCGAATTGGATCCGACCATGCCTCCCTTCTGATTCATTGTCGGTTCTCTATTTCTCCTCGGTGAGCGTCCTTCCGTTTCTAGAACATGTGGGTCCACCACCATTCTTACTACGATACTGTTAGAGCCTCATGGCAGCAGGCTACGCACCTCTATGGGATGCGTAACCTGGAGGAGAAGCTCAAGAGACTTCGCCGCGTTTTGAAGCAGTGGAACTAGACGATTTTTAGTGACATCTCTCAGCGCCTTACTGAAGCTCAGACTGCGTATGCGGAGGCAGAACGGACCTATGATTTGGATTCCTCGCCAGAGAATAGGTCTGAGATGCGCCGCTGCCATGCTGAGTACCAGTTGTGCCTCCTCATGGAGGAAGATTTCTGGAAGCAGAAGGCTGCTGTGCGCTGGGTGGCTGAGGGGTAGCGTAATACCAAGTTATTACAGGGATTCGTGAGGCAGAAGCGAGTCAAGTCGTATATCCATAGTGTCGAGGATAACGGGTCATCCGTGACCCAGGAGTCCCAAATACAGGAGTCAGCTAAGGCTTACTTTCATTCTCTCTTTTCCTTTGAGCGGGATTTGCTTACGCTCCCCGACCCGGCCCTCTTCCCGACCATCCCACAGTCGGTCGACCCTGTTGACCTCTGTGACCTCCCGAGTAAGGAGGAAGTCAGGGAGGCTGTGTTTGGGATATATCCCAACAGTGTCTCCGGACCGGATGGTTTTTTATCCCTCTTTTTCCAGTCTTGCTGGGAGATTGTGGGTACTGACGTAGAGGAAGCTGTGACGGATTTTTTCTCTGGCCACCAGATGCCAGAGTCCTTCACGGCAAGCTCCATCATTTTGATCCCGAAGAGATCGGGACCTAGTACTTGGTCTGACTATAGACCTATCAGCTTATGCAACGTGACTAACAAGATCATTTCTAGAATCCTCAACAGCCGCCTTGCCCCTCTCCTCCCTCACCTTGTCTCTCCGAACCAGAGTGGTTCATCAAGGATCGAGTCATTAGTGATAATATCCTATTGGCTCAGGAGATGATACACGACATCTCACATGCGAATCGAACACGAACCCCGAACCTCGTGCTGAAGCTAGACATGGCTAAAGCATACGATAGGGTCGAGTGGTCGTTTCTCAAAGAGGTACTGTCTCGGATGGGATTCCTTAACCGTTGAATTAGCTTTGTGGAGGCGTGTGTGGAACACTGCACATTCTCTGTTTTGATTAATGGTAGCCCCACGACCTTTTTCCCTTCTACCCGCGGCCTTCGTCAAGGGGACCCCTTAT